TAGTCTGAGCTACTTGGGAGGCTGAGCCCAAAAGTTTGAGGTTGCTGTGAGCTGTAATGCCATGGTACTCTATAGGGGGCAAGAAAGTGAGACTTTGTCTCAAAAATAAATAAATACATAAATAAAACACAGGAGAGTAATGATGATTTGTGGAAAAGCAAGCCTTCCTGGGGCACTCATAAATAGTTACGGGAGGACTAGAATTTCTAGAGTTATACGGGTTCAGGGCACAGATTGCATTCATGGGCATTAAAAAAAAAAGGTGCCTGATCCCTTTCCATCCCTAGAAAAATAAACAATTTGGGAAAATTCAGAATCTATACAGAAGAAGAAATATCTAGGCTATAGTGGTTAAATCTGGAGAGAAAGATTGAGATGGGCCAAAGTAGGAGTCTGACATAGCATTTATATTACTTATACTTACTGTTATAACCATGTATTAAATATAAGGTTTAGGAGGAAGCAGAATAACTGTGAAAGAGGATTATAAAATTCATCAGAAATAATATATTTGTGGGAAATAAGAGTCTTGAGGGGAGGCCAGATGCAGTGGCTCATGCCTGTAGTCCCAGTGCTTTGGGATTACTAGAGACCAGGAATTCAAGGCTGCAAGGAGATAGGATTATACTACTGTGCTCCAGCCCGGGTGACAGAGTAGAGACACTATCTCTTATCAAAAAATAAACTTTTTTTACTCTTGAACACTTCTTTCTTTCTTTCTTTCTTTCTTTCTTTCTTTCTTTCTTTCTCTCTCCTTCCTTCCTTCCTTTCTTCCTTCCTTTCTTTCTTAGACTAAGTCTCTCCCTTGAGTGCTGTGGCATCATAGCTCACAGCAACCTCCAATTCTTGGGCTCAAGTTTTTCTTTCTTTCTTTTTTTTCCCCTATTTTTAGTAGAGACATGGTCTTGCTTTTGCTCAGGCTGGTCTCAAACTCTCACGAGGTCAAGCAGTCCACCCACCTTGGCCTCCCAGAGTGCTAGGATTAGGGCATGAGCCACCCAGGCCTTCTCACTTTCTGATCTTGTTAACTGGCTTCTGATTTCAAGCCCCAGACCTGTTTTCAAAGGATAACTTCCTCTAGGGAGCCTTGGGCTCAGTTAAATATAGTTAGCCCTCTCTATCCGTGGGTTCCACATCCATGAATTCAACTAACCACAGATGAGAAATATTCAGAAAAAATAAGAAATATTCAGAAAGTTCCAAGAAGCAAAACTTTGTCACGTGCTGTTGAATCCACCTGAATGAAGTGATGGGTAGGCACTGTGCTTGGAATGGTAAGTGACCTAGAGATGACATAAAGCAGCGGTTCTCAACCTGTGGGTCGCGACCCATAGGACCTATATTAAAGGGCTGCAGCATTAGGAAGGTTGAGAACCACTAATATAAAGCATACAGAGGATGTGGCTAGGCTGTACATAAGTACCATACCATTTTATACCAGGGCCTTGAGAAACACCAGATTTGGGTATCCAATGGAGACAATTCCCCAGGGATACTGAAGGAGACTGTACCTCCTGCTTTGTGCCACTATAACACGCTGTGCATTCCTTGCTCATTTTGTATGCTTGTACATACGACATTGCCTGGCACATAATAGATCCTCACTAAGTATCTGTGAGCACTGTGCCACACTGGATTGTAACACCAACCATCCTGGTTTACCACGCCCTCGTTCTATGTCTCTGTTTTCACACCTGTTCGCATCATAGACTAAGAGCTGCTGGACCATACAGACTGTTGATATCATCAATCAGTTTTAAAATTTTTATTCTTTTAATTCTGCAATCTGCCCCATTTCAGTCCCACTCTCATTATTCCCCTACCCTGCCCTTTATATATTTTCCACAGCACTTATTGCCATCTTCGAACATCCTGGTTAAGTGTATTTCTTTATTTTGTCTATAGTTTATACCACCACCGTCATCATCACAGGCCAGGATCTTAGTTTTGTTCATTGATGTATCCAAAGTACATACAAAATTGCCAGGCACAGCATAGGTGTTCACTAAGCATTTGTTGAATGAATAGATCTGGCAAAATGAGGGATGATTCCTCTTATTGAGTTAACTCATTGTAATTTTTTTATCCACACAATTAAAATTTTAGGTTATCCGCTCGGCGCCTATAGCTCAAGCGGCTAAGGCACCAGCCACATACACCTAAGGTGGCAGGTTCGAATCCCCAGCCCGGACCCGCCAAAACAACAATGATGGCTGCAACCGAAAAATAGCCGAGCACTGTGGCGGGCACCTGTGGTCCCAGCTACTTGGGAGGTGGA